GTGACGGGTCCCGAAGGCTCCGTACGGCAGCATGGGCGCGCGGAGGGGGCGTGACTCGCTCCCTACCACAGCCTTTGCGCTCACCGTTGCGTTGGGCTACGGGGCTGGGAGGCAGCGCCACCTTCCTTCCCCTCCTCGCCCAGGGGGACGACGCCCTGTTGCTGCCGCTGCGTTTTAACGACTTCCGCAACACTCCGGACTCTGTGCTTTTCCCCTGCGTGAGCTGCGTTGGAATTCGTGGCAGACCAGAAAGCTGGGCTCACGAAGGCAATGGGACCTTAAAATTTTTTTTCTTAAGCGGAGTGAATCGTGGCTATTAGGGTGCCCTACGTGGCGGTTGTTTTCCAGCAGTTGCCTCCCATGTATCTGAATAAAAACAATTAACGGATAAAAGTTACCACCACTGTTGTTTAATAGGGGGTAAATTGCATATTGCAAGCTCGAAAGCGGAGTAATATTTAAGTACTTTTTTTTTTCTTAATTAGAAAACTTTTTGAAAACCTGTGTTTAAGTTAGTGATTATCTTATAAGAGATATGTAAAGGGACTTTTCTTAACTGCAACAAAATATACCTTATTTACCGGTTGATGAATCTTCGTACTGTTTAGATTTTCTCTTATTTGAAAAATGTGAAGGTACAGTTCCATTCATTAGAGTAGTTTAGATTGCGTACTGTTTCAACTTTCTTGGTAAACTCCGAAGCTAGAACGGCGGATGCACTGTGTTACGAGAGAGAAGAGGTTTTTAAAATCTACACCAAGTGGCCGCAGTTTGGAGCATCAGGAAAGGGTTAAAGGGTTCCTGAGTTATGTCGCCAATTTGGGAAGCTACCTGAAAGGTGGTGTTAGGACTTTGTTACACGGAGGTGTGAATGGGGAAAGGGCATTGTTGAGATAAAGCTTCGTCAGAACACAGAACATATTTACTTTCGCTGGAGTATATTGGTAGAGGAGGAGTAGAAATTTGGCTAGAAAAGGTACGTGGTGAAAGTAGCAAGTGATGGAACGCCTGAGCTGGGCTTCAAATTAATTGAACAGTCCTGGCTCCAACCGTTGGAAAAGTTTCAAAGTTCACAACTAATGACAATGACTAGTGTGTTTAGTTTTATATTACTAGAAAAATACCAAGAATGTTGCTGCTTTTTGAATGACTCCTGTCTCCTCAGCTACTCCTTTATTCTATCCTAAATACAAACACCAAATAAACTTGATCAGAACTATTGTTTCTCATAGTGAACAAAATTTTATTTACCCTGTTTGAAAATTACAGGGATAATTTAGAAAGCCATGTTGAAAAATAGGTTGCAAAAGTAATTCCTAAAAACACAATGGCCTTCATATGGCCTTATGCAACCCTTCTCCTTTCCCTTGGTGAAAATTTCTCATGAAAAAAATCTTATTACTCATCACTAAGCCAAGCTTTAAAACTCATGTTTTGATTATTATATGAATGTCCTAGATACAGAAGTTCCAGAAAATGCACACAACACTTGTTTCCTAGGATTTTACAATACAAAAGTCTCCATTTTCCTAAACTTGCAGCAGGTTAAGAGCAGTGAAGCTCCCTGAGAGATCTCATGTTTATACAAAGAGCCATGACTAGAAAACTTTAAGAATCCACATTGCAGAAAAGACTACAAGGAAGTTGCTAATGCAGTCTAGTTGTTGAGGTATTAAGGGTAAACATAAACTGTAGAAGTAGTTGCTTTATATCTTGACAGCTGAGAAAGACATAGAAGAGCTGTGAAGAAGATAGAATTGTATGCTGCACAGTAGAGCAGCAGCAGATGTTCCAGTATAGCAACAATGGATGTTCAAGATTAAATTAGACTCAAGTACATAAGTAAGACAGGTAAGTGTATAATTTAAAGAATTTCTGTAGAATACAGTTAAATATAAAATGTCTTTCCCTGAGGAGTAGACCTTGATGACCGGGAAAGCCAATAGGTAGACTATTTTATAAATAAATGAGGTGTTCTTAATTCATGTGTTTTTTTTAAATAGATGCAACTTTTTTTTTTTTAAACGTAGCAGTGTTTTTTTAATGCTTACTCTTTGACCCTATTCACACTTGTATTTTCACTAGTCATAACATTTGTAATTGTTGCACACTGGCAGTTAGCAAACATTATTAGTCTCTTAAACTCAACCCCATTCTTTGAAGCTCTTCAACCTCATAGGTGATTATTTTACTTAACTGGGAAAGATAAATGGCCACCTGATAAAACATTTACCGCTATGCTTTTCCTCTATTTTTGGGCTATTTTTCTTTTGCTGCAAGAAGAATGGCCTTCCAACCCAGCCGCTCTGCTTTACTCTTCCCTAACACTCTGACTCAGTTCTTTCCCTTCTAATTATTCATTGCTAATCTAATAAGAATCTCATCTATTTTGTCTTTCTTTTCATCTTTTTAAAATTTCTTTGTATCCCATTTATTTCTAAATTCATCATTTTGTCTTCTTTTTCTAAATTTTGAAGGTTCTAATTGTAGAGACAGTTTACCATTTCACTTAGAAAAGTGATCTGGCACATGGACACTGTTTAATGTGTATATATATATGTGTGTGTGTGTATATATATTTTTTGAATGATTGAGTATATAGATTTATGTGGAGTTTTGAATAGCTTTCCAATTGAAATTGAGTACCTAAACAGATACTGTGTTTTGGTAGAGGATATAAATATCAAAGCACACTACCTATACTTATGAAGGCACCATGTAAAAATGGAAGTTCAGGAATAACTCTCTTCCATAAACCTCAGCTGATAAAAATCTGGGCAGCTCATTATCCTTACCAAGTTGTTTTTAAAACCCAGCGTTTTATGAAATACAGGTCTCTCTATTACTATACAGCGTAACATAAAGGGTTATTAGATTACAGTGTGCTTCATTAAAAGAAGAATTTTAATTAAGGAGAAGTACATACCAAAGAATCTATGACATCTTGAAGGCTTTTAAAAAATAGAGTAATATAGTTAACAATAAGTTAGAACTTAAATTATAAAATGTTTCAGAATTACTGAAAAAGTAAATACCTCCTAGATATGACAAATTACAATATTTTATTTCATATATGCTTCATCTCTTTTTTATTTAAAGAAATTAAATCCTGCAGGTACAGTTAAAGGGTGTCCCTCCAATTCTCTTTTTCCCCCAGAAGTAACCAGTGTCAAGTTTGTGTACCCAAAACAATCTCTTTGTGTTTTATCTTTGTAGAAAAGGTATTGCATTAGATGTGTCATTTTATATATTTTATACTCAACAGTGGGATTTGAGATATATCCATGTTACATGTGAATCTAGTGATTCTTAAAATGTGGCTCAGGAATCCCTAGGGATCTCTGATACCTTTTCAGGATGCCTGTAAAGGGAAAACTTTTCATAATGCTAAAAAGTTACCCTTTTTACCTTCATTCTTTCATAAGTGAAGTATACAGTTCAGTTTTGCATAGGGTAATGTGACATGCTTTACAGAATTGAACGAGGAAGCACATGAATGAATGACGCGCTTCCAGCTATCTTCTTTTAAGCTAGACATTAGATTTGCAAAAAAAGTAATTTTTAATTCTGAAAACATTTAATACTGGGTTATGTTAATTATTTAAAATGAATAAACATAAATGTTGTTAAATTACCAAGCTTTAACTTTTTTTTAAAATTCTCACCCAAGGTTATGTTTTTATATATTTATTTTCTTGAGAAATAGAAACATTGATGTGATGTGAAAGAGAAACATTGATTGGTTGCCTCCTGTATATGCCTTGCACCAGGGATTGGTGTACTGGATAACCCTCCAACCAACTGAACTACCTGGTTTGCACTCAGCTTTTTTTTTAGTTATGTTTTATTATACACACATATGTTAATTATATCTATGTTCTGTGCCATGATATAAAACGTATTGTTGTCTGGCTGGGCGTGACTCAGCAGTTGAGCATCAACCCAGGATCCAGGGGATTGGGGTTCGATTCCCAGTAGGACACATGCCTGGATTGCTGGCTTGATCTCCGTTAAGGGGGCGTGCAGGAGACAAGCCGATCATTGACTCTCTCATCATTGATGTTTCTAGCTCTCTCTCTCTCCTTTCCTCTCTCTGAAATAAAGATTTTTTTTTTTTAAAAAGTATTGCTTCTCCTGGGTCCTCAGGGTCAGAAAAAGTTAGACCCTCTGCACTACAGTATGCTCCTTGTCTATAGATAATATTCAGAATGGTAGTGTTAACAGTTTAACTTACATAATTAAAAGCTCTTTGATGCTCTCAAAATTTTAAATTATAAAGGACTACTGAGCTGTATTTCTAGTGTTTCTGTTTTGGTTCTATTGGTCTCTTGCCTATTTGTATATCCTTTTTATAAAGCTTGTTTTATAATGAATTATCTTCGTTAGAATTGTTTTAGCTATTTGACTCCTTTAGTTTATTCTAGGGTAGTTTTCTTCCAATTGGGAAAATCGTTAGATTTTTGTATTTGGATGTATTCGAATAGAATATATAGACACAGATATATACTTAAAAAAATTTCATCTGAGGATGTTTTTTGATATTTTTTTTAGAGAGCAAAGGAGGGATGGAGGGAGAGAAAGAATGAGAGGGGAAAGAAAGAGAAAGAAACATCAATCAGTTGCCTCCAGTACACGCCCTGATGGGATTGAACCCGAAACCTAGGTATGTGCCCTGATGGTGAATTGAACTGTGACTTTTTGGTGTGCCGGATGACGCTGTTGCCAACTGATCCACACCAGCCAGGGCCAGCTGTATGCTTTTAATGCACAAAACATGTCTGTTGGGTTTTTTGTCTACTCTTGTTTATTGTATTGTGCTGTATGTTGTGTAATTTTTGTTAACGTAGTGAATAGCAATTTTTAAAAATTATAATTTCCAGTTAAAAGTTGAACAGATTCTGTTGACTTATATATAGTGATCACGCAACACCATATTTTATGCATTCAGACATGCAGTTTCCTCATGTTTTTACATTTCTGAAATCTCTATGTTTTTTACAATTAATAGGTCCTACAAGCACTGCTGTCCAGGCGGCAGTCATGATATTTATCATTGTCTGCAGTATTCATGAACTGTTGATTTTATATCACTTCACTTTGAGTTACATTCATTATTGGATTACTACTACATGGGTTGTTGCTAATATATGTTAAACAGTATATTGGAAGAATAAACTGCCCTTGGAAAAGTTCAAAGAAGTTCGAAGAACTTTCAGAGGCTATGGAGAATTATTAACCATCATGAAATAAATGCTTGCTGTTACTCAACTTTTCACCAGTTTTAGTGTCCTTCTATTAAGAAGTCTGTTACAAATTTACTTCTTGTTAATCTCTAGCAACTTGAGACATTCTATCTACTTTGTATAATATAAATTATTTTGTTTTCTGAGCATGACTTGAGGAGAACTTACTAAAGTTATATTAAAAGGCCTTACTATATGTTTGGGAGACCAGAATCAGAAAGTTGATTTTGCCTACATATTGGCAAGCATATACTTTATTAAAAAATGTGAACAAGTACTATGTTGAAACTTGCCCAGAAGAGATAATATAAAACTAGGAACCAAGATCTATGAAATATAAATAAATGTAAAGTGATGTAGGTATTAGGCCTTATGAAATATATTCATTAGTATTTTAACATTGATGAAATACTGTTAAACTCTTAAGTGTGTGGTGGTGATATTGTTTTTAAAAATGGAAAAATATTTTTGTGTATTTGCCAGATTTCTACTACTACTTTATTTTCCTTATAACTAAATGTTTACAACTGTTAATTTCTCAGGAAGTCATGTTCTTAATTTTCAGAGTCCGTTAAAATTTCAAGATGATGATTCTTCTGAGTTAGCGGTAATAGTAGGTTTGAGGTAAAGTATTTTCAGGGCTTTTTAAACAAATAACAATAGGGCTGCTTCATCTAATCTTGAGACTTTGTTTCCAGGTTTTTCTGCTTATTTGACTTCACAATGCTGTATAGATATGGACAATTGCAGTTAAATCAGCAGACTATATACTTGCACCATTACTTTATCACAGTTGAGGGGGCCTCTTTGGAGTATAGTCTATTTAGGAACATGGTTGTATTTTAATTGTTGCAGGGACTTAGGGTAAAAAAGATTTGTAAAGTAAGGTGGTCATCTTTGAAGCACAAAAAATTTCTTTTGCCTATTCAGGGGAAAATTATTTGTTGAATATATTGTTGAACAGTGGTTGCGTTGGTAAAAGTAGTATAGGCATTCCTTCAAGGCAAGACTGGGTGTTGGTAAAGCGTATGATGTGAAATTGAAGTTGACTCTTAAAGGTTTTGAGTTAGTAGCTGACGGAAGAAAAAGTCCTAGAGCACAATGGTAGTTAGCTGTTAATGGTAGTATTTCACTTGAGCTCTTATTTTCTTTATTGCCAGGATTTAGCTCTCTGTGGCATATTCGGCTGGCTGTATAACCTGGTTGCTCTAATCAAACCGCTAAGTCCTTGACATTACTAACATCTTCCTGCATATGTAAGTATCTGTGCAGTTATTGACTGTGTTTATTGACTTTATTTATGACATGAATAGCCATAACTTTGTTTTAGAAACCTCACCTTCCAGAAGATTCCAGGATGTGAAATGCCAAAGGAGAAGTGTTAAGGAAACACAAAGTCTTGTTTGAAGAATGATATGTAGCCATTTAGGTTGCACAGTTGGGTAATAACAAAATAAGTCTGTTATGCTGGTTTGGGGGTTCATATCGTAGAGCACCCTGAGTAATGGGGAAGCGATGAAATTATCTCAGCAGGATGTGTCATGATCAAAGTAGTGCTTCAGGAGGATTAGTCTTCCTGCAGATTGCAGGAGTGCTTCTGTACTTTGGCATCAGTCCTTTCTCGTAATAGGGTTTCTAGTTTTTTTTAATGTGTCTGTGGGAATGGCAGAAAGAAGCAAGCTATTTGAGGGACTGTTTTCATTGTCAGGGGTCAGGAAATAATGAAGCTGGGATTAAATGGTGATTATGGGAATAAAAGAAAGGAACAGATAATTATGAAGTTGGGAAGAAAGAATGATAAGACTGACATTGCATGGACAGGGATAAAGAAAAAGCCGTTAGTGATTTTTTCAAGAGACGTTGGGTTTTAGTCAGATGAAAGTAATCAGCAGACAGCCTGGTGGAAGGGCTGCGTCCTACTCTGAGTTTGTGGATTTATCTTCTTGTAAATGGTAGTTGAAACCGTGGGGATAAAGACAAGCAGAAGATGGCTGAATGCACAATTCTTTGCAAGGCTGCAGTAAGGGGTATATATGGAGTGGTAAAGTACCCTACACAGTTGGAGGAAGGTGGAAAAGAAAATTAGAATGTTAATTAAAAAAACAAAAACAGAAGGAGAGAATTTCAGAATTATCTGTAAACTAAAAGAAAAGCAGATGAAGATGAAGAAAAGGTCATTCTACATGGTTAAACCCTACCCCCTTGCTTTATTGAAATTTGAATGACATAATATTATGTAAGTTAAAGTGTACAATGAAATTACTTAATACTGGAATATATTGTGACATGATCACCACAATAATGGTAGTTAGCACTTCCTTCTCATCACATAATTATCTTTTCAAAAAAAATATTTTTATTGATTTTAGGAAGAGGAAGGGAGAGGGAGAGAGACATAGGAAATACCAGTGATGAGAGAGTGATTGATCTGCTGCCTCCTCTACCTGGGCATGTGACCTCACCAGGAGTTGAACCTCCATCTCCTGGATCATAGGTCAATGCTCAATAGTTGAACCATGCCGGCCAGGCAGTTATCATTTTTTTATTTGTGGTAAGAACATTAAGATTTAATATGCAGCAATTTTCTAATATATAATATGGTATTGATAACTGTAGTGATCATTCTATACCTTAGATTCCCAGAATTTACTCATCTTTTAACTTGAAGTTTGTACTCTTTGACCAGTAGCTTCATATTTTCCGAAACCCTCTCCCTCACAATTACTATTCTTACTCTCTCTTTCTGTGACTTTGGGCTTTGTTTTTTTGTGTGTTTTTTTTGTTGTTTGTTTTTAAATATATCTTTATTGATTTCAGAGAAAGGACAGGAGAGGGGGAGAGAGAGAGAAACATCAGTCATGAGAGAGTGAATTATCGGCTGCCTCCTGCACACCCCCTGTGGGATCGAGCCCGCAACCTGGGCATGTGCCCTGACGGGGAATTGAACCCCGATCACCTGGATCCTAGGTCGATGTTCAACCGCTGAGCCACGCCTGGCCCGGCTGGGCTTTGTTTTTTAAAGAAAAGAAATTAAGATTCTGTATGTAAATAAGATTGTAAAGTATTTATCTTTTTCAGTCTGACTTACTTTACTTAGCATAATGACCTTTCAAGGTCCATTCATGTTCAAGTGGCAGTACTTCCTTTTGATGGTTGAATACTATCCCATTTTCTACCTGCCTACCTACTATATATACAGGGTATCTGCCGAAATGTGTACACATTTTGAATAATAATTCCAATGGGTTAAATCTGAAAAGAAACATTAATTGAGCTATCAAAAATGTGTGTGTGTATATATATTTTATTGATGGACACTTAGGTATTTCCATGTCTGGGCTATTCTGACTGATTCAGTAAACTTAAAAGTGCAGATATTTCCTTGATACAGTGATTTCATTTCTTTTGATATATACCCAGAACTGGGATTGCTGGATTATACCATAGTTGTATTTTTGATTTTTTGAAGAACCTCTATACTGTTTTCCGTAGAATCTGCATCTGTTTACAATCCTACAGAGCGCAAGGGTTTTAATTTTCTCCATTTTTGCCAGCACTTAGCATTTCTTGTCTATTTGATTTTAGCCATTTTAATAAATACAGTGTGATAGCTTAACTTTGGTATTTTGATTTGTATTTCCCTAATTAATGAGATTGACATTTCACATACCTAATAGCCAATTGTATGTCCTAGTTGATAAAGTTCATGTCCTTTGTCCATTTTTCAGTTGGATTGTTTGTTTTTTTCTGTTGAGTTACATGAGTTCATTATATATTTTGGATATTAATATATCAGATATATTACACAAATGTTTTCTTGGGTTCTGTAGGTTTGCCTTTTCCACTTTGTTGGTTTCCTTTGCTGGTAGAGAAGCCTTTTTCCCCATGTTTTTATTTTTCATTTTCTTGTGCTTTTTATGTCGGCTCCAAAGAATCATTGCTAAGAGCCATGTTAAGGGACTTTGTTTTCTTTTAGGAGCTTTAAGGGTTCAGGTCTTATATTTAAGTCTTTAGTCATTTCAGGTTAATTTCTTGAATGGTTTAAAATAGTTGAGTTTCATTCTTTACATGTCATTGTCCAGTTTTCTCAACACTGTTAAAGAGTCTGTTCTTTCCCCACTGGGTATTTCTGGCTCCCCTGTAAAATCTTATTTGCTGGTATATATGTGGCCTTTTTCTGAGCTCCTGATTATTTTGTGATTCCATATAAATTTTAGGATTGTTTTTACTATTACTGTAAAAATTATCACTAGAATTTTAATTGGGATTGCATTGAATTTGTAGATGGCCTTGGGCAGTACAAATATTTTACAATATTTTTCCTACCCATGAACACAGGATATCTTTCCATTTATTTGTGTCATCTTCAATTTCTTTCATCAGATCCTTGCCGTTTGCAGTGGACCAATTGATCTTTTACTTCCTTGGTTAAATTTATTCCTAAGTATTTTATTATTTTTAAAACTACTGTGAATAGGATTATTTTTTAAGTAGTACATTGTTATGTATAGAAATCCAGCTTTTTTTTTATGTTAATAGTGTTTCCTGCAACTTTCCTCAATTCATTGATTAGATCTAACAGTTCTTTTGGTGAAGTTTTTAGGATTTTAAAATATAAAATTTCTATATCTCTGGATCCACTTTGTTCATCAGTTTATTTTGTTTATTATATTTTACATATAAGTGAGGTCATTTGGTATTTGTCTTTCTCTGACTGGCTTATTTCACTTAGCATAATACTCTCTAGTTCCCTCCAAGCTGTGCCAAAGGCTAAAAGGTCCTTCCTCTTTATAGCTGCATAGTATTCCGTGGTGTAAATGTGCCACAGCTTTTTTATCCACTCATCTACGGATAGGCACTTGGGCTGTTTCCATATCTTAGCTATTGTAAATTGCGCTGCTATGAACATGGGGTGCATAAGTTCTTTGCGATTGGTGTTTGGGGTTCCTCAGGATATATTCCTAGAAGTGGGATCACTGAGGGATCGCAGAGGGAAGGCGGGGAGGGGTGTGTGAGTGGTAGAGATTAATCAGGGAACTTGTATGTTTATGGGCATGACCCATGGACACAGACATTGGTGTGGGGTGGGATGGATGTGGGGTGAAGGGGATCAGTGGGGTTAAAAAGGGGACATTTGTAATGGTCTCAACAGTAAAGATAAATATTAAAAAAAAAAATATATATATATATATATACACACTCACACACACACACACATCTATATAAAATTGTGTGGCCAGTTGTCATGGCTCAGTGGTTGAGCATCAACCTATGATCTAGGAGATCGAGGTTCGATTCGCAATCAGGGCACATGCCCGGAGTTTGGGCTTGATCCCCAGTGGGGGCCACACAGGAGGCAGCTGATCAATGACTGTCATCATTGATGTTTCTATCTCTTTCCCTCTCCCTTCTTTTATCTGAAATCCATAAAAGATATATATATATATTTGTTTAAAATTTTTTTTTTAAATATATCTTTATTGATTTCAGAGAGAGGAAAGGAGAGGGGGAGAGAGAGAGAAACATCAATGATGAGACAGTCATTGATTGAGCCCGCAGCCCGGCGGGCATGTGCCCTGACCGGGAATTGAACCCCAATCGCCTGGATCTAGGTCGACGCTCAACCGCTGAGCCACGCCCGGCCGGGCAATAAAACATATATTTTAAAAATATGTGTACATATGTATGTAATTGTGTTACCTACAAATACTGGCAGTTTTCCCTTTTCTAATTCTGACACCTTTTATTTCTTTTTTTTTGCCGAACTGAATGATTGATCTTTCACTTATCCTTTTAATATGCTGTTGGATAAATGTGCTGTTGAATTTACTTTGCTAAAATTTTCTTGAGAAATTTTGCATCTGTATTGGAGATAAAGGCCTGTAATTTTTCTGTCCTGCGCTTTACTTATTTAGCTTTAATATCAGGATAATGTTAGCCTTTAAGATGAGTTTGGGTGTGTTCTCTTCACTTTTGGAAGAGTTTGAAAAGAACTGGAATTATTTTTTAAATGTTTGCTATTATTTAACCAGACCATCTGGTCCTGGGTTTTTTTCTGTCTTGGGAGGATTTATTCTCCTTACTCATTGATCTGTTCAAATCTTCTATTTCATTATGACTTACTTTGGCTAGGATGTATATTATTAGGGCTATTTATATTCATTAATTTTAGGTCGTTGCTCTCATAGTAGTCTCTTATTTGCATTTCTTCAGATCAGTTTTCAAGTTTCCTCATTTACTCAGATTTAATTGAGTC